CCCACTGATGCCATTCATGATTTGAGTATTTTTAGCAGATGTATTAAAACTTATAACAAACACTAATAGTATATATAAACAAATTATGGTAATAAAATCATCCATTTTTGCATCCAAAACAAATAATAAAGTGTTAATCCATAAAATGTTAAAATACAAAAGGACTTTTATAGCAAACCTAATAAGGCCCTATCGTAGGAAGTTGAATACAGACAGCAGCCATCCCTCTGCAATTCCCATTCAGATCAGAAGGGCGGGAGAGGCCACAGGTGGGACTACTGGAGGCAGAACGAATCCCTCACAGAGCCAGGACATAAATCCTGTACTCTGCTTATTGCACCTTGTATACAGAGGGCCCTAGAATAATCTTGGGGCCCTGAGAATGGGTTTCTTAATTTATAACAGGATTGTGAACAATTGATTTACTTAAATGAATCGATTTACTTTTTTCCTAAATAAAAATGGAGTCATGTTTTAAAAATAATGGTGCAGATTTGATCTATTCAACATATTTTGAGCAAGTTTGTGTCATTCTTCTTAAAATTGGAACATTTACTTCTTACAATAGCTTATCTACAAGACATTCTCCTATTTACCCTCTGGGATAAGGACTGGCGAGCTGATGGGATAGATGAAATCATGTGCATCTCAAGGCGGACATGAGGGAATTAGATATACTTACACTGAGTGGTCCTGAGTGTGCATCTTAAAGTGTATAGAAGTTTTAGGGGCCGGAGAAGTGGCTCAGCAGTCAAGAGCAGTGGCTGTTCTTGCGGAAGACCCAGGTTTGGTTTCCAGCACTCATATAGTAGCTAATAACTATTCATAACTCCAGTTTCAGGGGATCTGACACCCTCTTCTGGCCTCCATGGGAATTGTACACACAGGTGCACTTATATGCATGCAGGCAAAACTCTCATACACATACATTTAAAAAAAATTTTATTTATTATTTTTATGTGTATGAGTGTTATGCCTACATGTAGCTAAGTGCACCCGTGTTGTGCAATGCTTGCAGAGGACAGAAGAGACTGTAGGATCTGCTGGAACTGGAGTTATGGACAATTGTTAGCTGCCATGTGGGTGCTGGGATTCGAACCCGGGTCTTCTGCAAGAACAGCCAGTGTTCTTAACTGCTGAGCCATCTCTCCATCCCAAATTTTTTTAAATGTATAAAATTTAGATTAGTGGAAACCACCTCTCTAATTTGTAGGCTAAATAATGTTTTGTTTTGTTTTTTTCTCCCAATTGTAGCATAAGATGTAACAGTCAATTCTACATCCCTGAGTTACAGCAAAATGCAGGCAGGTCCCATTTTTTAAAATCATACATTGAGCGAGCGTGCGCGCGCGCACACACACACACACACACACACACACACACACACAAGGCAACATACAGAGATGACAGCGAAGCACCTTTACCTGCCATGCTACAGCCATTGAGCACCATCAGTGTTTTTGCTTACTGAGCAAGCTGAATTACCAAAGAGCTAGTGCAGGCCAGTTATGGCAGTGTCTGCTTCAAGTCAGATCCTTTTTCTGGAGTCAGTGGAATCAAACAAGCTTTGCTCCTATTTAGTCAAGCTTTTTGGCAAAGTGATGTTACAGCTACGTAATCTGCTTGCACTTCACAATTCATTCCCATAGTCATTCTTGGTAGAACTCCTTTGTTTGTTTGCGATAGAATCACGCTATGTAGCCTGGGCTGACTTTGGACTTGCTCCTGCCTCAGCCTTCCAAGTCATAGGAGTATAGCACCTGGGGAAACAGAATTATTTTGACCAAATATGGTACTAAAATACACTATGTCTTGTCTGCTCCCTCCATGAGAATGTGAGCTGTGTGAGGGCAAAGACTTTGCCTCACTTGCAGGACACTTAACTGTCTGTCATGAAGTAGATAGTCCATAAACATGCATTGATGGAACAAACTTACAGGCTGGCTTGTCAACATGACTGGTCCGCAGAAGTTTTCAACAGAGATTATCTATTGTAATTTTATACTAGGTGAACATGAGTTCATAGAATGACTTATTTACAGCAGTATTTAGAGATTTAAAAATGGGCTGGAACTTGTGTTCTAATATTCCTCTGGTCATTGATAACCTCTTAACAGTGTGACAAAATTCTGTGGTACAGTTATCTAGGAATGCCACTGAATAGATTCTGGAATTGTGAATATATATTCACAAGACACACAAGGAATTGAATATGGTCAATGTTGATTATACGCCTGTCTCAGTTCTTTCAAGTTCTCCTAGCATGGCTTAACAAACTGTAAATCTTTTTTTTTTTTTTTTGGTCTTTTTGAGACAGGGTCTCCCTTGTGCCCCAGATGTCCTGGAACTCACTATGTAGATCAGGCTGGTCTTGAACTCACAGAGATCTGCCTGCCTCTGCCTTCCAAGTGCTGGGATTAAAGCCTTTTGCTACCATGCCAGGCCACAAACTGTAAATCTTTTTAATGGTAGCTTTCTGTGTGTGACTGTCTCTCTACCTGTCACACATATGCAGAGTGAGTCTCTCTTACTTAGATTACATAAAGGAAGGCTGTATTTCCCCTTCCTCCCTGCTCTCCATGGTTCCAAAGGATGTTTAGAGGTTAGGACCTGTTACCCTTATAGCTCCCCATTGAGTAGACATTAGCAGTTTACTTTGAGCTTTGGCTCAGCAGTGTTGACTCTCCTTGACCAACTATGGAAGAACCAGTGGGGACTGATAAGCTTGTGAAATTTAAGTTGCATGGCAGATGAACCTACACACACAGTAACACACTATCTGTTCTATGGACATGATGTGGCCTCCCCTTACCTGTCCCTGTTTCTCACAGGCACTGCTTCCCCTGCCCCAGCCCACACTGCATAATCAGAAATGAAGTTGGCTTGATACCTCTTCAGGCCCCAGATGAAAAGTGAGGGGTCTAACTTCATTCAACTCCCACTGACACTCAGATAAATTTGGTTAGTAAATCAGAATAATCTAGGTTTTTTGGTTTTTTTTTTTGTCTTGTTGAGACAGGGCCTCCCTGTAGCTCCAGCTGGCCTGGAACTCACTATGTAGACCAGGATCCAAAGCAATCTGCCTGCCTCTGCCTCCTAAGTGCTGGGATTAAACATGTGTACCAGCATGTCCCGCAATCTAGTATTTTTTTTAATTTAAGATTTTAAAATTTTATGTGTATGAATGTTGTGTCTGCATGTATGTATATACCAGAGGAGGGCATCAGATCTCCTGGTACTGGAGTTAAGTTTGGGTGTTAGCTGCCTATGTGGGTGCTGAGAACAGAACTTGGGTCTTCTTCAAGAGCAGCAAGTACTCTTAACCCTGAGCCATTTCTTCAGTCCCTCTAGCTTGTTTTTTGAGCAGAAATTATATATCTTTGTATGTGTGTATGCATTCTTGTGCCAGTGAATGCTTGTGTGTGTGTGTGTGTGTGTGTGTGTGTGTGTGTGTGTGTGGGGGTGTGTGTTTGTGTTTCTGGGTGTGGTTGTAGGCCAGAGATCAACCTCAAGTGCTGTTCCTCAGGAGTTGCCTACCTTATTTTTCAAGACAAGGTCTCCATGGGACTTAGGGCTCACTGGACAGGCTGGCTGTCCAGTACTGGAATTATAGGCATGTTTTGCCATGCCTGGCTTTTTACATGGGTGCTGGGGACCAAACCCAGTCCTCATGCTTGACCACAAGCACTTTCCTGAACACATCATTCCCCAGCCCTCAGTTATCTTTTGAATGATGAGCACCATAACCACAAACATACATCAGTGTAGTTGTGGCTTTTTCTCCAGAGGAAGGGAAACTGCCTTAGAAGAAAATTGTTTTTATGCACAGTTTAAACTTGAGTTCCAATAACTTACTCCAGTCTCCACCATGAGATCAATACAAACTGAACTCTAACAAAGTCACACACAAAGATATCCACTATAAATATATTCATGTGTGAACACAAAAGTATTCTGAGTTGGAATTTTGTAGACTTGTATTATTAGTAGTACACAACTACGATAGTCACTCACCAAATCTTGTTTCTCAGGTCACATCTCTTATAGCGATGGTTCTCAAAAAAAGAGTCAATTTTGTCAATCATGGAAGTATGTGGGACAATTTTGGTCATCAGAGCTGAGAAAGACGAGGATAGCATGCTGCCCATTTCTGGTAGGTGGTGACCAGAAATACAGCTGAGCCTCCATGTGCAGGGAATTCTCCCACAGCAAAAAACCATCCGGGCCCAAACGGCAAGTGCTGAGGTCAAGAAACTTTGCTCTCTCTTGACAGAAACCAATGGAATGAAAAGTCAGCATGCTGTTGGAAGCCTAGTAAATTAAGTGAAGCCAAATTAATTCTCTGTGGCTGTGATCCTTGGACATAATACCAAGAACATCAGTGTCTCAAACTGTGCTTAATAAAGTGGCACCACAGGATCCAACAGATGTCAGTCCACCAGTTACAGAACCAGGACAGCTAATTTGACTCTAATTTCTAAGCCCACTGCTCTGCTGGGTAGACTGCAAGGAAGGAAAAGCCATGGCTGGCTCATCAAATCCGAATGGGAAGTGACACCTGCATTAAGAATGTTAGGAAATTAGGGGAGGAAAGACTTATCATTAGGTGGCCAGCAGGCAAGGATCAACGCCACCAGCTGTGATCCACCACAGGAATGGTTGCAAATCCTGAGACTGTCATCCTGAATCCAGCAGGGAGGGAGATACACATGGATCTCAGGCAGAGGAGGAAGAGCCACCTGGCCCCAGCTTCGAACCCAACTCCAGGTCTCAGTTGGGCTATGTGATTCTAGGCAGGTCTCGTCTTCTCTGTCAAATCAGGAGCTGGCCTGGGTTCTGTAGCATTTGGTGCAGTTCTAGCATTCTTGATGTTTTCTTGCTTGGGTACCCAAGAACTGAGATAGCTCTGCACTGAGAAGCCAGTGTTGTGTATTTATTAATTTGCAATAGCATGTGGTAAAGGAAATAAAGAATGCAAGGGACACACGCAGTTTTGCACCCTTAGGAAACTTTTAATTGGATAATCACTCATTCAAAAAACATCAACTGAGCATCTCTTCTAAATAAGATACAAAAACTCCTGTATTTTTGTATTTAAAATTTGTTTTAAACAAACCCAATGATCTTTAGAAGTTTATTTCCGAGGATTTACAGCAATACACACTCAGCTCCCCAATGAAGTTCCTTGCTGCATTCACACAGGACATGTGTTTCCATTAGCTAATATCCTTCCAGGTGGTGCTGACACAGCACATTTAAACAGTCCTCTCTGTGGGAAGCAGAGGTGCAACTTCTAAACTTAACCTGTTACTACAACTTTCCCCACAGCCCTGGGTTTTCAGGGATCTAAAGTTAACTCTTATCTTAGAGAATAAATGAAAACAATTACTCTGGAAACTGCAATAGGAAGCTCTCACTCCATAGCTCTGGTTCTCCTTCATCTCGGCAGGCGATGCTCACAGAGCTGACTGCTGACCTTGGCTGTACTCTGTGCTGGAGAGGTATCTGCTGGGGGAGAAGAATACTTCAGCTCCAACAGTTACATCTTCAAAAAGGCCACCTGGAAAAGGAAGAAAAGCCCACAGTACTTTACTGATAAAACAATAGAGTGGCTGACTGCACATCAAAGCAGAAGGGGGGGGGCAAATCTGCTCAACAGAGATACATGCTCATTTCAAAAGAGGTGACGCAGATGAGCCAGACACTGCATTTTACAGCAAGAACCAATGGCCTCTCTCTCTCTCTCTCTCTCTCTCACCCCCCATCTTTAATGAACCAAAGAGTAATTAAAATGATTCACATGCATTTTAAAGAAAAAAGTAGAGTTTTCATTGACACTAAAGTTATATTGTCATGAAGTAATCTAGTTCTTGTTCTCATTGGTTCAAAATACTCTTTTAGACCTTCTATAAGCACAGCTGACTCTCAAAGATTCCCAGGCAATTCTAGCTCCTTATCACTGTTGGTGATCATCATCTTCTCTTTGGGTCATGCTGATATTTTTAATCATATGCAATTATATTTACTGTGTTTGTCAGCAGCAATTCATCTTCAAACCTAGTGTTTAAAAGAAAACTTAATTCATAAGCCTATGTGCAAAATATTTTCAAACTATTAACAAGGCCAAGATCAAATGCCTATAACGTCCCAATAGCTTTTGCTGCTGTTTTTTGTGTTGTTTTGGTTTTTTGTTGTTGTTGTTGTTTTTTGACACAGGGTCTCCCTGCAGCCCCAGCTGGTCTGGAACTTGCTATGTAGACCAGGCTGGCCTTGATCTCATAGAGATCCATCTGCCTCTTCCTCTGGAATGCTGGGACTAAAGGTGTGCTTTACTACACCTGGCACATTCCAATAGTTTTAATAACAGAAACATGCACTGACAGTTAACCATAAATGTTTAGGAAGTTTTAGCTCAGAGGTGACAGTAAATTGGGAACCCTGCTAACATCAGGAAGAGAGCCAGAGGCAGAGGTAATGATGTTGGCGAGGGAGACTTTGGAAGTTCCCACTTGGCCAAACAGAAGTAAAATCATTCTAGGCATAGAGAAACACAACAGTATTGGGAAGGCTGGCTCCTATATCCCCAGAAGCAGGGAAAGGGGCATGTACTTGATGACTCTTGTTACGGGAAGAGGAACCTGGCAGAATCGTGCAGCGCAGAAGGCTCTGCTTTATGTGGAGTGCCTCAGAAGGGTGTTGCTCTTCATGCGGAGCTGGCAAGAACTGCATCTGCTGAGTTCCCATATCAACCTCCTGCTGAGTTTCTATTGCAAGTTTTGTAATGAGAGCACCAAAGTTGAAGGAACAGGCAGGGAAGAAAGGTTACAATTCCTAACCAAAATGTAAACACGGGACAATTGCAACCTGTATAAACCTCAAGAGCTTACTGTGAAGATCCAATGAGACAACAGGACAGGTGTGGTAGCTCAGGACTTAACGCTGGGAGGCTGAGGAGGCAGGAGTGTGCTCTTGTGTTTTAGGCCAGGCTGGGTTACACATGTGTGCAAGCTAGCCTGAGCTACATAGTGAGACCCTGTCTCAAAAAAATAAAAAATAAATACGTTACATAAATCCATGGTTTTTTTTGGTTGTTGTTGTTGTTTTATTTCTGCCCCTCATTTCTTAGCTGTTACCAGAGAGAAAGGAGATGGTCAAAAGAGACTAATGTGTGTCCCATTGAAGGTTGGGAATGATTATTCAATTACATCGGATGGAAGACCACCTTGAGTCTGACGTGGGGTATCTGGAGGGCAATGCCCTGGGAGGTGGTATTCTGCTTTCATACGGTCAGTTTTCAGGGACAGGAAGCGTACTACCTTACAAATACCACTGCTGCTTTAGTACAATGCAAACATCAATGAAAGCCACCATAAAAATGTTAAAACATTTATCTTTAGGCAGACCAGTGATTCTTGGGTTGGGGCCTGCCAGAAAACATTTTACAGGATCTCGTGAGATTCTTGTATGTCAACAACTGGGAGGTGGAACAACTGGCACCTGATGGGCAGAGGGATCTGTATTTTTATAAATTTTTTTCGAGACATGGCCAGGCATCCTAAAATCACAGGGTATCCCCACCACTAAGTCCCCAGATGTCAACAGTGCAGTGCTGAGAAATGTAATTACAGAAATGGTTTTGTGGAACCAGATCTTTCGTGATTGGCTCTGTGACCTTTAATAGGCTGGTTAACCTCTTTGCAAATTTGCCCACCTGCAAAATAGGAATTGTAAAAGGTTCCTCCTGAAACCTATAAAACACTTTTGAGTGCATTAAGCTTATTTTGACTTCCGTTTCCCTCACAGCCCTAGGAGTTAGGCAGAACAGCTTTGAAATGCTGGTTTACAAAAGAGAAACAGAAGCTCAGAAAAATGTGACCTGGTTAGGGTTCAAAGCCTGCCAAGTGGTAATGGTGGACTTGGGAAGAACTTTGATTTCAGTGCACACGTTTCTCACTGTAACTGCAGAAAAATGAGTAAAAAACTAGAGGTCCAGGGACTTTGCATCTTCACTATTGCCTGAAACATCAAAAGACTGCTTTGGTTTCTCTTGTTTATGACAGAGAACAAATTACATAAGAGGCAGAGTGGACCAAATTACAAAGGAGCCCCTCACTCAGTAAGAAAAATTTTGAGTCTGAGTTTTTTATCTCTAATTTTGATAGCTTTCCTATGAAGTACATTATGCATTCTTAGGTTTTAGTAACAAAAACGTGTGCTCATACTTGGGAGCAGGTCCTAGGCCATGCACTGTAGTTCTTTTTTCTACAAAACACTGAGTTAATATATTGCAAAAGCTGTTGTGTTCTCTAGCTTTTACCCATGACAGGAAAAACTGTTTCCACAAACTGCCATTTATTTTAAAAGAGAATAATTTTATTTTATTCTCTAACACTGAGAAAATTCTCTGTGTTTCACTTTTTAGTTTTATTCTCTGAAGTAAAAGTTTTAAAGCTTCCAGAATACAAGAGCACAGCTGCAGTTTTGCACTCTGCAGGTTGGTGCAGTTCTGGAATATACAATCACAAAGTGCAAACAATGACTGAAAACATCGGAAGAAGGGACTCTTTCCAGGATGTGGCTGAGTTCTACACAGCTCAAAATGGATACTTGCAACAGAAGGTACTGAGTTAACATGTCTAACAATTTTTTTGTTTTGTTTTGAGTCACCTAAACACAATCTTCTTAAATGACATTAAACAGAGCTAGACTGGGGGACTGGCTGATCAAATGCTAAGTTTGTAACACTTTAATTACATATGAGAAACATGTTAAACATTTAAAATATCCTTTAATCTTAGCAAAGCTATATTGTTAACGTCTTATTCCTCAACAGAGATTTCGAATTTCAATCAAATCATACACTGTCAAAGCAGGCCACACAAGAATGCAATTAGTAATTTTTAAAGCTATGTAAGTGCTTTGGGGTATGCTAAGCACTATAAAATACTGAGTTGCGTAACTGCAGGTTTGGGAAAGGATTCTATAATAAGTAGCCACAGCCACACATAAATGTCCCTTCTAAAGGGGGCTGTTAACATGAAATAGACTGTCTTTATAGCATAGCAAGTATGCTATGCTTTATATAGCAAAATACACTTTATATTATAAACTGGTTTCTAAGATCCAAACTTCATTTACAAAATAAAATATATGATATAACTGTGAGTACAAAAATAAATTTTTCTAGCATTTATCAAATGTATTTGACATTTTAAGGTAACAGTGGGATTAAGTAGCTTTTCCTAACTCCCTAACAGCACTGACCAGGGTGCTGTTGTGTGCACCTGGGCCCATCTTTTGCCCCAGCTACTGTGTAAGCTATTCTCTCTCAGAGCTAGCAGGCTGGCTTCACTTGTCCACTGCTTAAATATCTCGTGTATGCCACTGATGGCCTTAGTTATGACCACACTGGTACTAGCACAGGCATGGGGGCTGGGAGATGACCTAATAAGATGGAATAAGTTTAAGATGGATGCCTAACACATGCTGGGGAAAAAAACATCATTCCCCAGTTACGAAAAGAAGACAGACTTTTGAAGTAGCACCCTGAAGGAGGTAATTATTACTGTAATTAAGGGTTCTGTGTTGGCAGAAAGAGACAATAAAAGTTGGCGTGACAAAGAGTTTGGCACTCATTTGTTCTCACTGAAAGATGCTGGCATGCTGAAGGAATTCTGGCAACTAGGAGCCACAGAACAGAAGATCCAAGATGGGAAAAGCAGCCCAGTGAGAAGACCCTGCCCCTCCAAATAGGCAGTGGTTACATGTGCACTTATATAGACTAAAAAACATCAGCACAGCTTTCCAGCCCCAGAGGCTCTGCATAAATTCTGTAAGAACCTTGAAAACGCAGGGAAGAAGTGAGATGATGTCCACAGAGTAATATAAACCATCACCTTGGATTTTCTGTAAGCCATGGATACACTATTGTAATTTTCATATAACCCAAAAAGCTTGTTGGCTTTCATCTACCAGGGAAACAGTTAAGCTAAGCCATGGGTGGGACTGGGGTAGCTGGTGCTCTCCATCTCTAGATGGGGCTGGAAACGTGGATCAGTGCTCTAGCTGCTTGTCTGAGTTCTGGTCTTCAACAACATAAGGTCTAGGTGTGTGCTTCACAGTATCTTCAAGAACAAGTAGTTTGTGGAAAGTATGGTGGGCATCCAACAGTGCTGTCCTGACAGGACTAAAAAAGTGGTTCTGACATGCCAGTTATACAAAGCAAATCCAGTCACTTTGCTAAGGACAGCAAACTCATGGGACAAACATTTACATGACAACAGTCTTTAAGTGTTACATAAAAATGTACTGCTTCAAGCACAAATTGTATTTGTTAGTAAATAATGACACTAACGTGGGTGGCTATAAAACACAGCTACCCAATAAACGCATGATCACTCATACATTTAAAAGTCCTTCCAGTTTCTCTTCTCTCTGGAATGTCTGTGAGAAGGAATGTGGCACAGTGGTACAATGGCAGCTCTGCACTAGTGTTCGGAAAATTCTGTCCTACTGGTACAAGCCCCTGATCAAACCAGTTTAATCAGGAGTGGAGTTACT